TATACACCCCCATTGATCCTGAGGCCCCCTGAGAACCAGCAGGCAATAAATATAGCCTTTGCTACTCAGGCAGCCCCTGATATCTGGCGTAAATTGCAAAAATTAGAAGGTTTTGCAGGGATGAACCTGGCCCAACTTGTTGAGATAGCCCAGAAGGTGTTCAACAACAGGGAGGCACCGGATGACCCTAAACGTATGGCTAAAATCCAAAGCTACTGTCATCAACCCAGCCAATCTGTTGCCAGACCCAGACCCAGACCCTGAGACCTCTGTTCATGATTGCATAGATTTCACTGATGCTGTGTTCCTCGCGGCCAGACCTCAAAGACTCCCCTCTGCCTGAAGCCAATGAAGTTCTGTTCACGGACAGGAGTAGCTTCATGCAGGAAAGAAAGAGGTACGCTGGGGCAGTGGTCGTAACTCTAACTAGCACCATCTGGTCACAGGCTCTTCCCCATAGAACTTCTGCTCAAAAGGCAGAACTCATTGCCCTCATGGAGGCACTAAGATGGGGAAAGGATAAGGCAGTCACAATATACACTGACAGTCGATGCACCTTTGCCGTTACACATGTACACGAAGCCATCTACAAGGAAAGAGGGCTTCTGACTTCAGCTGGGAAGGACATCAAGAACAAGGGGGAGATCTTAGCCTTACTTGAAGCCATATAGATGCCTAAGGCTCTTGCTATTGTTCTTTGTAAAGGGCATCAAAAAGGGAATAGTCCCGAGGCTGAGAAAAACCAACAAGCCAATGCAGAGACAAGAACAGTGGCCACAAGGCCAGTTGGGCCCCCCCCACATCTACTGTTATCCCTTACCCAGAACTGCCTTCATCTCTGACCTACACGGCAGAAGAGAACATATATTTTCAAGATAAGGGAGCCACTAGGAACCAACAACCCCAGATGGAAAAACCAGGCTCTCATGGCCCTTGGAAGGACTCTCCTCCACCAACTACACCAGACCACACACCTAGGGCAAACTAAGATGCTCCAAGCTTTAGACCCCTACTTTCACTTGTTAGAAGGAGAAGAACTGCAGAGGAGATCACCTCACAATGCCTGGCTTGTGCCCAAGTTAATCCAAAGAAGGGGAAGATAGAAGAATCTAGGCATAGAGAAAGAGGAACTTATCCGGGAGAACCACTGGGAAGTCGATTTCACTGAGGTATCCCCGACTGTGGGGGGCTACAAATATTTACTTGTTTTTATAGACACCTTTTCAGGATGGGTAGAGGCCTTCCCTACCAGGAAAGAGACTGCCTTAGTAGTTACTAAGAAACTACTACAAGAAATCCTCCCTCGATTTGGCCTCCGTGGAACTTTAGGGTCGGAAGACGGGTCAGCCTTCATAGCAAAGGTATCACAACAATTGGCTAGCTACCTAAATTTGCGATGGAAACTCCACTGCGCCTACCGGCCCCAAAAGTTTGGGCCAAGTAGAGCGAATGAATCGGACCCTAAAAGAGACATTCGTCAAGTTAGGATTCGAAATTGGTGGGACCTGAGAGGAATTTCTCCTTTTTGTACTCCATATATTACTAGATTCCCCCCATCTTA